TCGGTAGGGGCTTTACCAGATTCAAATGGATACTCTTATCTCTTAACCTGCGTAGACCGTTTCACCCGATGGCCAGTACTTATCAAGGACATCACTGCTGAAACAGTGGCCCGTGCCTTCGTCGAACGATGGGTAGCAAACTTCGGCTGTCCCTCAACTACCACTACAGACCGTGGACGTCAGTTTGAATCTGAACTTTTCCGTTATCTGACTACAATTTTAGGAATCACTCGTTTCCGAAAGACCACCTACCACACACAAGCAAATGGGTTGGTAGAGCTAAAAGCTTCACTATCAGCTGCAAACGTTTCACAGTGAACCGGAGCTCTTCCACTCGTCTTACTAGGTATTCGCGATGCAGTGTATGCTGACATCGGATACACTGCGGCTAAACTGGTTTATGGAACGGCACTTCGACTCCCAGGAGAATTCGTGGATCCTTCATCCTCTTCAATAGGCATGGATCTAACCTCCTACACGAACAGGCTTACGAACGCAATGCGTTCAGTTAAACCTGTCTCCACTCGACCTCAATCAACCGATGTTTTCGTTCAACCTGACTTACGATATAGTACACACGTCTTCGTACGTCGAGACTCGCATCGCCGACCTTTCGAATCAGCACATCAAGGAACTTTCAAAGTTCTTCAATGCGGATCTAGTACTACATAGTCGATAAGAGCGGAACAAACGATAGCATTAGCATCGATCGCCTAAAAACAGCGTATTTAGAAGGAAATCCTATACACGTCGATTTTCCTTTGGTACAATCGAATGACACGACTCTTACACATATAATACCTCATCCGAAAGCCAACACGCACGACGATACCTCAACAGAATCTGAAAATAAACCTAAAACAACGCGTTCTGGAAGAAGAGTAAGATTACCAGAACATTTAAACGACTACTGCACGTAAGACACTAGTTAACATTTTGCTTCATCCCGATTTTCCACGGCATTACATATAATGTTAAAAAATCAAGTTTCATATGCTTATATTTATATATATATTTATTATTTTGCTAATATGTATATTAAAAATTTAAAAAAACACTTTGTCGAAATCGCTTTTACTCTATCACATGCGCATGAGTTTATTTGCCCTTTTTCCGCCTACTTTGTGTCTTAAACCGCGTACGAATTTATTTTGACATGCACTTACATATTCTTTTTTTCTTTTCCAGGATGGCTGGAAAAGACGATAAAAAGAACGATGAGGTTTACGAGGAACCAAATTTCTCATTGTACATTATTTTTTTTACTATATTGTGCTTCATGGTCACTTATAGTAAGGAAGCACGACCAGACGATGCTAAACCTAACAAGATATCGGAAGAGTGTTTATATAGTATTCGAATTATCGTATGAACTAGGAATTCCAGGATTAACGCAATTCAATTAAGAAGACACAGGCACAACGAATGTACTGTATTTAGAATTCGAAATCAAGTATTCAACCAGTACAAAGGTATCATTAGTTAATTCAAACACCACATCCGCCACAGCTTAAATAGAAGTATAAGTGTTTGTAATCGGTTGTACGTCTTCTTGTTAAGTTCATCCTGAGTCTGTCCGACATTGTATAAGATAAAAACTTTGTAGTATCTAGAAAGTGCTGGAATTGTATACAACCAGCATGTCGGTTTTGTAATGAAATCATTAATATCTAGAATTCGAACCATAGATTTTTCAACACTATCCCCCCCCCACGAAATAATGTTGGATCTTTATATCCCCAAGTTATGAATAATGTGGCTTCATTTAAAACATATTTCTCACATTGTTTAGAGTAAACATTAGAACTGTTTTTGTGATAAGGGTAAACAGCAGTTGATATGAAATCATCCGAAATGTAATCAAACTCGAGGTCACTTAGTACTCGTGCTTCGCATTGAGCAGGATTTTCACAATGATCAAATGCATTATGAGGATAGGTAATATATGATATGACATCAGGATTTGATTCTTCTGAAATATTCTTATGAAATTCATTAGGACTGTCATTACAGAGCGTAGGATCGTTAGAAAAATCAGCATCTATCCAAACCACATCAGGTTTTCGATCATGATTAGGTTCATTTAACATATTTTCCTCAGAATTGCAAGTAATTTCATTAGAAATATGTGAATCATCAGGAAAAGTCATACCTGGTACAATAGCATGAGAATTCTGATAAATCGGTTGATTAGGAACTGTTGTCTCACAAGAATTCTGGATTTCATTTAACTCTGAACTGCCATATGACTCTGCACAGTCTTTTGAAATCGTTGATAAAGATAAATGATCATCATGAATACTCGACTCTGTAGAATCAGAATCACAAGACTTAATATTAGTTGCAGTAAGATGAACATTAGCATTACAAACTGACTGAACTTGTCCAATATCACGACATTTGAAGCATTTAGAATTATGAAATTTACATGAATTAGAAGAGTGGAACTTGCAACAGGACAAACACTGACCAAACTTGTCCCCATCCTCGTGAACTGCATCCAAATTCAATGAATTGTCTGCATAACCTTGAGTATGCACTAGGTTGGGATGACGTATTAATGTAGTGGACTTTTTTATATCCTCATGAATCATTTTACGAAATCTTCCTCCTTTACGACATTCGAAATTTGTATACTGAGCATAGTCTAGCAGTAGATCCTTGAGAGCTGTATAAGAAAGCGAAATGGGTTTTTCCGGCATAGCCAGAGTTCTTAATAAGCTGTATGCTTCTTTTCCAATGAATGTGAGGAAGTGTGCCACAATATTAACATCCTCATCATCTTCCTTGGTCATGCTCCAGATTTCGAACCTTTCTAAATAATCCTCAAAAGCTTCAGGAGTTGAATGAATATCTAACTTTTCCATTGCAGGCCCCATCGCGACGCCAATATAATATTCTAATTATCGTATGAACTAGGAATTCCAGGATTAACGCAATTCAATTAAGAAGACACAGGCACAACGAATGTACTGTATTTAGAATTCGAAATCAAGTATTCAACCAGTACAAAGGTATCATTAGTTAATTCAAACACCACAGTTTACCAATGACAAACTCGTTGGGTTTAAACTTCTGGCTGGCCACGTCTTAGGGTCATCACTAACCCACTAGGGGGAAGTGATCTGTAGCTGTAAATAAATCCTCAAAATAAATAGTTCTGTAGGCTTTCGACATTGGATACTGACCACATTAGTCTTAGTGGACTCACCTAGCTGAAGGCACTCGGTCATGCACCCGCATCAGATCACGAGTGGGAACGCCGTGCTCAACAACCCCTGAAATCGCTAGCCAGATTAGATCAGATGATCGTCGATATATTGATAGCCTATCAAATATATCTTCGAACCTCCTCGCTTCTGTCTTTTGATTACACTTGGTGGATACGATTCATATTAGGTGTTGCTGGGTTAAAGCGATGTCCAACTCCGAATACCTGTGGCATCTTCAAGATTTCTGCTAATTGTCGAAGTATTTGAGCTGCTGAACACTGTTTGAGAGCTTTTTTCAAATGAAAAGCAAACTATAAATTATACGAAGCAACTGTCATTTCTCGAGGATTTAGTGAGTGATATCCATGATTCGGTATCAGACGTGAATAGAACCATCAATGTGAGCCCTCAAAACGCCACAGAAAATAGGGAAACCAATGCATGAAGAGCTAAAAAGAAAACGAACAAAAGCGCAACGAAGCATCAAATAACAAGGAGTCCCAAAATGCAAGTTGACGGACACAGCCACGAGAACGAGCCGACGCAACGAGAATTTCTCAATGCGTCATCTGCACATTGCAGAAGGTCAACAGGACTGTATGAGTTTAGTTCTAACGTCATGTGATGCATCGCATGATATGTTGTTATCGTTGTTACTATAATATCTAGGATATAAGTCAGTAACTTGACTAAGTGCCACTTCTTTGGAACCTGGAGAATTGAGGAATTTCTTGATTTCTACTATAGTGTATCAGAAACCTTTTAGTGGGTTGGCAACAGGAAGTTAAGATGAATTTCAAACGTTTCTCGTGAAAACCAGTACTTAGTGGAAAACTGCAAGGCTGTTATAAGTCGTTTACTTTATATTCTGTGTATAATTAAACTCCAGAGCGAAGTTAGGTTTATGCTGATGTCAATATTTAGCGAGAAGTAACAAGAGGTGCAGCTACATGTACATTTTAGATCGACTTGGATGTTCTGGTTGGCTGAATTCAAGTGCCAATGATCCTTATCAGCAGATCCGACTGTGCTTGTATACAAATCCGGGCTACAGAAGCAAATAATTACAGCATTGGGTAAACACCAGTACCCAATACAACAGTGATCTAGAGGCAATAGTGAGATAAGACTCTAAGACCACAAGTGACTATAGGGCAGTTTCAAATAATTATTTCGAGACCTCTTGGCATCAAGGTCAACATCTATGAAGTTGAACATATGCGTGTCCATCAATGTGCACACCCCTGGCGGGATCGAAACTAGAAAACTGTCTTCAGGCTGAAATCCCCTGTTTAAAGAAAGAGTCTGATATCTTGGAAAAAATAAAGTGGGCGGATACACATCTGATTTCAGAACTTTATGGTTTACTTTATACAGGATTCCTTGATAAGCTACACCTCTCTAATCGGTCCTCCTTCAGATTAAGAGGTGATCTAATTTTGATGTAAAGAACCGTTAGAAATGATTTTGGGCCTGACACATCCTCTCTTTTTTCTCCTACAAGATCAGCACAATTCATAATAGGCAAGTTCAAAAACCAAGAACAAACAGAATACACGTAGCATAAACATTATCAAACCGAGTTATCAACTTTTGGTGTCTGCACTCTTATATGTCTCACTCAAGAGACGTTTATACATTCGCATAAGCTTATTATAAAAACCCACTACAGACTGTCTGCCTTCTGTTCTCAGTACATGCATCTGAACCTGAATATACTTGAAACTGGATATTTAGGGTCATATTTCGACCTACAACGTCTGAAGGTCGGGTTAAGCGGATATTCGGATGCGCTCATTAAGCTTGGTCGATCGTGTATTTTTTAAAGATATCTATACCAGCAACTCACGTAATCTCTGCTTATACGATGTGGACAATGATGGGGTAATCTGTGGTATTATTATACCTTATCTTTATTCCTACCTGTCAATAAGCCTATGTTTCACAAGGTTTAAATTATTATGCGATGTAGATGATGATATTTAGCCTAATTAGGACTATTCCACTTTAAAACTCACTGAACAGTGAATATTTTTAAGAATTCCCTGCCAGTTGGTGTTGAAACTTTGCTGAAATAAGTTTCTGTGAGCTTAATTAAGCTCGTTTAAATGAGACTAAAATATCTACACATCTTTCCAATTTTTGAGGTTTAAATTCACCCCCCAGCAACCGGACAGTTTTGTCTTAACAATAGCCAGAAAATCAGTTGAAGTAGAATTCGTTACAAACTCGCATCTGACGGGTCTTCATACTTTGATTCAACAGTGAAACTGGAAAAAGCTGAGGTAGTGGTATCAATAATGACCACAGTCAAATATAACGAAGAGTAAGCAAAAAAGGGAAAAAATGTGCGGAACAGCATCAAAACCCATAGTTTATGGGAAGACAAATAACGGCTACATCTGCTCCATTGAGACTACTTGTCAATTACTTCATGGAAAGTCCTGGACTATGTATCATACTTATCCTTTTCTTTACCTTAGCCTAAAGATCTGTGCCTACCAACACAGATTACACTAGCCTTTAGTTACCATTTAAACTTATTTTAGTTTTTGACTCCGTCCTCATTGGTACTATTTATCATAATTCGCTAGATAGAATTAAATATCAGTGTAGAAGCTTCCTGCACCTTTTTAGCACATGTCGCACCGGCCTTTGAAGTAAATATCTCAGAACTAACAGCCGGAACTAATGTGAATCCCATTAATTGTTGTGCCAATGCCTTTCGTAGTAGTTGTGAAAATTCGGTTTCAAATATTATGTAAATGTCATCACATCCTAACTGGAGCTGTAGTCTAATGTCCTAGCTATTAGACACTCAGTATTCGGGTCAGAGGCTGCATTTCATGTTGTTCGGTTTGATTTTCAAAAGCTTAGGGTGCATCGATGGTACTCATATAACCCCTATTGCCCAGTTTATTATGTGGACGGATTTATCACCATTTATACGCGAGTGTGTATGCAACATCCCTCTAAGAAAAAATGTTTTTTCTCATTCGCTCAGGATAATGAATTGATAATTGGCTCTTGGGATTCTGGACCCTTACTGGAAAATGGAGAAGCCAATGCAGCAAATAGTGAGGGTTCCGTCCACGTGCTAAAGTATAGGAAGGTATGGAAGGCATCTTATCATCTTGGCATGGTATGTTCGTCTTTTCCACTTAAAAAGAGGATTTCGACTGTTTACAGGTTTCGTGTGTTACGGCAGGTAGTATATACAGACCCGATGAAGTTAGTGAGTCCATTCTGATGGACTTATTTGTTTGAATGAATTGTTTTCTAGACATGGATCATAGCTTTGTGCGCTGATTCACATTGCTATGCATTTGATGCTTGTGCTCTCGCTCCAGAATCTGTAAGTTATCATTTCTATACTTAATATTAATGCATTCATGACAAATAAGTTGATGTTTTCTTCAAAAAGCGTGCGATTTTCTTAATAAGCTAATGTAAGTGAAATAAATTCTCGAAAACCGTAATAGTTATTCGTCCTTGTTCTAGGACTTCTCAGCAATGCATATCTATCACTTAACGATTCAACTCAGGGATTTCAGCTTTAGATTCAGTTTCCTCCGTCCTTCGAATGAATCTTTCCACAGTTTTTTTCTGTACTCCATATGTCCTTCCACCTTGTAATTAAACCAGTTGTTGTATTCGAGTATCACCAAAACTCCAGTCGGTAGTAATACGAGTAACAATTATGATTCATTGCATCTGACTGGAAACACTTAGTAGACGGATGGTAGATGATATGGTCTTCGACTAAAAATAAACTATGGACTACGTAGTAGGATATTGTTATTTCAAATATTTTAGTGCCTCTTTTTATCCCCGACAAAGTTCATTTTTATATCTCATTACTTAACACTACCGATAAATTGTATGTAACTAAGTCTCGTACTGCGGACCGGTAGTATATCGTTAAGAAAATCTTTTTCCACCTTGTTGATCTGTCATGCTGAAGCATTAAACGTATCCAGAAAGTTCAGGGTTAGTCCTAACGTTTTGCAAGGGTTAAATATGCTACCTGGTCATCCAAACTGAAATGAATGAAGCGAGTTTTTAACATATAAGTCAGTGGTCAACGCATATCAAATACTTAAGATCCTAGGCCATAGCCCTTACTTATGTTGGTTTTATCACATGTTTACTACATAATTTCCAGAGGACGTTGTTTTATTCATTGTTATCCATACCTAAAACATCATACCACACACCACTACATAATTAAATTAAGTAGTCATGACGACCTTGTTAATACTTAGTATATTTACCTCCTCTGTTATTTGATAATATAGGTATTTCATGTATCATTATGAAAATAATAATTTCTGTTAATTTACACTCAATAGATTTGAAAAACAAGCAAAACTTTATTCATAAATGTCTGTATTTTTACACATCTATAGGAAAATATTTCAAGTAAATCTAAACAAAAAGTTAACGTTCATGGTTCTTCAAAGCCTGATCAAACTATCAAAGCAGAAATTGATACATTAAAAATGGTTCATCATCAAGAATTAGCTTACAATGCCAAAGATGTCTGTATATTTAATGAAGGTAAGATTGATAGGTTATGGAATAATATAAAAAATGTATTTTTGAGTTCTTAACTTGTTAATACTATCTAAGGTTAATTGTATTTTCTCTATGTTAAATTACTTGGTTGATGGATTCATTACTGGATTTTTGCCTCTGATTGTCGTAATATGGTTCAGTGATGTATAAGATTAGTAAATTATATCGAAATGTCTTAGAAATATTGCTCACATCAACTGGGATCATCGGGTAACTAACAGTGAGGTGAGACGCAGGGTATTAGGGAATGATGGTAAATCAGTTGATGAGGTTATGAATCTTCATCGACTGAGATGGTTGGGCCACGTGTTACGTATGCCTGAACACCGATTACCACGATGCGCAACGCTTACCGGTGTTGGGAATGGTTGGAAGAAAGTTAGGGACCATTAAACCAAAACGTGGCATCCGTCCATAAAGTCACTAACTTGTGGTGTGAGCCATGTTAGTAGATGCAAACTACTTGGTTGTTGTCCGTGTGACTATCGTAACCAATGGTTGGAGACTCTTGGTGACATGGTTCAGAATCAATCACAATGGCATAGGTTTATACACTCTATGTCTTCCCTTAAACTATGGGATTAAAATGGCTTCATATCTTTCTACGTACTAATTCTTTCTCTCTGTATTATATCCTTATATACAATCTTTCTTTTGCATATTACTACCATTGACTTAACTACTTCCATGAATCCGGTGTTCATCTTGCCGTTCTAATGCAGTATGGCAACTTGGACCGATGCACATATGTGCCTGGTCTAACGTTGTAGCTGACTGACATATCGAAATCCTCTTTTGGTGTGTCTTATATATATAGCTTCAACTATGGAAGTTATGTTCGCTTCCTTCAAGGTGATGGAAGTATTCCTCACAAGTGTTGCGCAATGATCGAGAGTTTCTAGTGTCAAGATGGTGTTAACGAATTCAATCTTCACCTAAAGAAGTTCAAACAACTGGGTTGCAAGTGAATGTTACGCATAAATTCTAAGACCAAAAAAAGAATGCTTTTAATCTAAATCTACTTTACTTACTATCAAGTATAGTAAGGTAACGTCTTAATTTGCTACTGCTCTTTAGATTAAACATTCAGGTTAGCCAATAACGTATAAACGTTCAGCTTATCTAATTGGTTTGGTTTATGCTACCATAACCCCCACATAATTCACTATGTAAGTATGAAAGATTCATCGGTATTTATGTTTCAAGTTTGTATCTAGACAATAAAGATCTGTAGATCCATTTTGATGATGCGCTTCAGAAATATTATGACCAAAAAATTATCAGATCTCTTTACTCATTAATCTACGAAGATTTGTATTAGTCAGATAAACTATATTGACAAATAATTCATATTCAAATGACAATGCTTGTCATAAGTTCAAACGGAAAGCAGTGTATTCCGTAGTGACTTATGCAATTACCTAATTTGTTCATGACTGCGTGTTAAGTAATACTTTCTCATACAACTTAATTTTATACAAATCCAGTGCCATGATACGAAAGTTATTCAGTTTACCTCTAAAACCCAGTTGACCTACTTAGTTATCATTTGTTAGTGGACTACTAGATTTCATGATATATTATTGCCCCAAAATACCCTGGTACGGCCGAGAGTAGGGAGAGCCCGCTCTTCCTCTCGAAATGCTCTCACATGGCCACGTGCATACAACCACTGTCATGGAAGTCCTACTCATTGCCTTTTCACGGCATTATTGTTCTTTACGAAATTGAGAGGATGAAAAGCGAATGTCCGGCACTTTAACCGGGTTGATGGGCAAGGAGAGTCCACCTAGAGGAGTCGAAAACCCTGATTCCAAACCAACGGTGTATATGGGCTCTAGGATCTTGAGAAAACAAAAGGCTTATGAACCAATTGTTAGTCACTGGCTACCATGGGACTGCATCTCCTGACGTTGCTCCACTGCCTTGTGGATTAGACCTTTAGGTCAAAGGCTCCGGGTGCGGCTCCCCTACAAAAGTCATCTGTTTCGGTTTGGGCACACGGGCCGTGTCCCAGCCCTCACACGAATCGAATGATTCATGTGATGCATATCTATTCGATGCCTCCTTGTACCAGTGTTTATGTTTAAACAATATATTATTGTCATATTTATCAAAGTCAGTCAGTCAGCTACAACGTAGGACCAGGCACATATGTGCATCGGTCCAGGTTGCCATACCGCATCAGCACAACAAGATGAACACCGGATTCATAGCAGTGGTTCGGTCAAAGGTAGTAATATGTAGGAGAAAGATTGCATATAGAGATATAGTACAAGGAGAAAGAATTGGTTCGTAGAAAGAAAGATATGAAGCGATTTTAATCTCTTAGTTTAAGGGAAGACAGGGAGTGTATGCACCGACGCCATTGTGATCGATTCTGAGCCATGTCACCAAGAGTCTCCAACCATTGGTTACGAAAGTCACGCGGACCCCAACCAAGTAGTCTGCATCTACCAACATGACTAAGACTAGAAGTTAGTGACTTCAAGCACTGATGCCACGTTTTGGTTTGGCCGCCCCTAACTTTCTTCCAACTATTTCCAATACCGGATAGCATTGCACGTCGTGGTAATCGGTGTTCAGGCATACGTAACACGTGGCCCAACCATCTCAGTCGATGAAGATTCACAACCTCATCAACTGATTTACCATCATTCCCTAATACCCTGCGTCTAACCTCACTATTACTTACCCGGTGATCCCAGCAGATGCCAGCAGTATTTCTAAGGCATCTGTGGTCAAATACTAATAGCTTACGAGTGTCTTCTATTCTTAATGGCCATGTTTCGCTGCCGTAAATTAAAACAGAACGGACTGTCGCGCAGTATACTCGTCCTTTTATTGATAGACGGATATCTCGCCTTCGCCATAGGTGACGCAAGTTGGCAAAAGCCAATCGAGCTTTTCGAATCCGTGCTGAGATTTCGTCTGATACCAACCCATTATGGCTGATCAGACTTCCAAGATAAGTGAAGTTGTCAACGCGTTCGACTACTTCACTCCCTATCCTTAGTTCAGGTGTTAACGCAGACCAGTCCTGAAGCAACAACTTGGATTTAGAGGGAGAGAAGCGCATTCCAAACATCCTGGCATTGTTGCTCAGTGCTACCAGAAGACTCTGCATTTTGTCAGCGTGTTCACCAAACAGGACTATGTCATCTGCGTATTCTAAGTCGATAAGTGGACCTCCTGGTAGGAGATCAATACCCGAGAACTCAGTCGACGAGAAAGTTATTTCCATCAGTAAATCTATGATGAAGTTAAACAAAAATGGGGAAAGTGGACAGCCTTGACGGACACCACTTGAGGTTGCAAAAGTAGATGACAGTTCGCCATAAGCTCTGACTCGACTAGTAGTGTTCGAGTAAAGAGCCTTTACAAGGTTTATGTACTTCTGGGGTACGCCTTTCAATGACAGACACTGCCACAGAATCTCGCGGTCTACCGAGTCAAATGCTGCTTTTAAGTCGAGAAAGACCACCATTGTCGGACGCCGATAAGTATGCCTGTGTTCTAGAATCTGACGAATGGTGAATATGTGGTCGATGCAGCCACGACCAGGTCTAAAGCCAGCTTGGTTCTCTCGTGTTTGCAGTTCACGAGTCTTAGTTAGGCGTCTGATAATGATCGAGGCTAGTATTTTAGATATTATATTAGTTAAACTAATCCCTCTGTGGTTGTCACAGGATGATTTTGACCCTTTCTTATATATTGGGACGATAAGTGATTGTGACCAGTTAGATGGAATAACGTCTAACTCCCAGATTTTAGCTAAAATATTGGTCAACCTAATCGCTAAAATTGGACCACCATCCTTAAAGACCTCTGGAGCCAATCCATCTGGACCAGCTGCCCTTCCTCGTTTCAGATTAACTATAGCCTTTTGAACTTCAGCAAGAGTTGGGGGACCTACTTCAATGTTCCATTCACACTGTCTGGGAATGGAGGGTAGTTGTAGAGTAGCTGAAGACCAGCTGAACTGTTCTCTGAAATGTCCCGCCCATCGTTCTAAACGTCTGGACTGGAAGCAGATGAGTGCATCGTCTTTCTCAGTAATAATCTGACTTACACTTGACTTATTAATTCCAGTTTCTTTTATTAGTCTGTAAAGCTGTCTTGTGTTCCCTATAGTCGCCGCCTTTTCCATCTCTTTTGCTTTCGTTACCCACCACTGCTCACGGTCGTTCCTTAGACTTTTTCTTAACCTAGATCTGATTTGTTTTCGCTCTTCATCATGTTCAGAACCTAATGGGATGAGTTTGCGAGAATCCATCAGTGTGACAGACCTTGAAGAAATCCACTGGTTCTTTGTAACCCTGTGGTTTAAGTCACTAATAGATTTCATTGCTGTTTTCACAGCTGTTTGTATATCTTTCCAAGCAACATCTGGGTCAGCCTCGTCTTCACAACTACCTAAGTGTGACCTCAGTTGTTCCTGGAACCTACTTTTGGTTTTCTCGTTACTCAACTCAGTTCTAACGGGTCTTTTTAATGTGGCTTTTTTGCGTCCAGTGAGGTGCAAGCAGATGCGTGCCCGTATTAGGGCATGGTCGGAGTTCAAGCAGGTACTCCAGGATGAGCGACAATCTTGTACCGACCCTCTCTAACGATAACTGATGGCAATATGGTCTATTTGAGTCCATCGTTGGTTTGGTGCAGGCGGTCGCCACGTTAGACGATGTCTCTCCTTATGCTTAAAATTTGTGTTTGCTAAAAATAAATGATTGTCTGAGCACAGTTGCAGCAGACGGTCACCATTATCTGTTCGCTGTGCCGGAATGCTAAAATATCCACCTAAATGCCTTTCTGTTTGGTTTAAGCTACCTATCTGAGCATTAAAGTCACCTGCTACGAGTACTATGTCTGAGCGTTTAGCTTTCTGAAGAAGTTCGGACAGCTTTCTGTAAAATTCATCTTTCACATCATCTGAGCTGCAGTCAGTGGGAGCGTAGGCAGAAACAACGAAAAGGCAACGACGTGTGTCCCTATCCTTCCGAGTTTTTACGGAGCCGTTTAGCCGAACAGCACATAGACGACTGTTGACGGGGATCCACTCTAGCAGTGCTTGTTCCGCCCTCATGCTTAGTGCTATGCCTACACCTGCCAGTCCACGAGAACTGGCCATCGGGTCACCAGATACACGTAGGGTGTATCTCGTTGGCTCTCCGTTTTGCCGAGGTGAGGTCAAGTGAATGACCACACTGGGATCCTGTATGCGTGTTTCGGAGACACAGCATACATCAATGGAAAGAGACTCTAGGGTTTTAACCAAGGAAGCCTGCTGACCGATTTGACATAGAGTGCGTACGTTGAAAGCTCCAATGTGTAGTTTGGAACGAGGTTTCAGTAGACCTGGGACAGTGTTTTGAGCACTAGAATCGTTGGCTATGGTGACACTTGAGGAGGAAGCCGAAGGAGGAAGTTTAGGGTTGAAAGTCGATGTAGGAGGAATAATAGGAATTGAAGAGGAAGGTTGATTATGAATACAAGTGGTCTTGGGTGTTGTTAGAGGTATGAGGGCGATTATTACTTCCCGGTTGCCCACACCGTGGAAGGGTTCTTCTGGAGGTACCTGAAAAGGAAATTGGATTAGAGGCGGCCTCAGTGACCTGAGAGCGTGACCGCAGTGCCCAAGGGACAACTGCTTGAGGCCGGTCGCGCACGGCCTTTTTGTGGAAGGTTTTTGACGTGTTAACTCCGTTCTCCAAAGGGCCTTACCGCCGGAGACGAAAATCCGTGAGGTAAGGTGAGATGTGACATTTTTAGGGTCGACCTTTTCTAACCCCATCCCTCCTTGTGGGAAGGCAGCATCGCTGTCATGCTGGTTGTCTGAAGGAAACACCTTACTGCTGTCACACCTCTGTACAGTCAGCAGTACGACTTCGCCTTCGGACCTTGGGTTTGTTGCTTTTAGTCTTACCGCTCTTCAACCGACCTGTCTGGCATGGTAGGACCTTGAGGAACGGTTGTTCCAGCCAGTATAGCACGGTTGCTTCATCACGATAGCCAAGCCCGACCACCACGTCAAGGTAGCAACAACGGTCGGGATATTTATCAAAAGGAACTCCAGACAACTCATCACTAACACTACTCATTGTACAATGTATTCAATGCACCAACAAGCGTTTTTACACATCATTTTACAGATTTATGCATTGTTGAGAACTAATCTAATATTCTGTATCCAACTTTCAAATATCGATAAGTTGATCATTTCGTTCTTCAAACGTTTAGCTAACTGATTCGAATAATACGTTTAACGATGCAGTACTCGTGACGTACTGAGATCCAAGTAACATATATTTGTAGTCTAGGTCACCAAGTAAAGTCGGAGTTGCTCTATGATAGTTTGTGAGAGCTGACCGTTGTCTTTAACGTTCGAAACCAAAACTTATAAATTCATTGACATATATCTTAATCTTAGAAATGAGCCCATAGCTATCCCGTCTATTTGTCTATAATAAGTACTGTTAAAGACAAAATGGACATCTTAAGAGCAGCAGGGCTCACCTCTAGGCCCGATTCTAGCTGATCTCTTCCTAGCAAAGCGAGAAAATAGACCACTTAATGAGGCTACTAAGAAGCCTGGTCTATATTGCCGTTACATCGACGACGCATTCATTATCGTAGGTCAGAACACCAGTAAGGAAAAACTCCTAGAACAATTCAACAGTGTACACCCGGTGATCAGTTTCACTGGTGAAGGCGGATGTGACAAAAAGCTGAATTTCCTTGACATCACACTAAGCAGGCGAAGTGATGGCTCGTTAAATAGAAGCGTATACAGAAAAAGTCCCTCTGCTTACCAATATACTCACTTCTATAGTTTTACACCTATTCGTTACAAGAGAAATTTGGTTAGATGTCTCACTAGCAGAGCAAAAAAGATCTGTTCAGTAGATACTTTAAGTCAGGAGCTGGAATTTATCAACAACTCACTGACCGAGATCGGCTACCCCAGTGTGTTCATTAAGAAGTGCATGTATAATATTAAAAAAGTCGGAGATTTCGATTGTTCGAAAGAAGCCTTTATATATGAAACTACAATCCGACGGGAATGTTGCTAGTGATACTCTGAAAGATAGGTTAGCAAAAGTAATTATCAGGACATTCTACGCAGCCAATCTTGCGTTGACTTTCTCGAGTCGACCAACGATGTCTACGTGAGTCGGCCTCCTCAATGTGCACTTATAAATTCAGCTGCTCCTGTGGAGATAACTATATCGGGTATACTATTAGGCAACTTAAACAACGAATGAGTGAACATCTCCCGGCTTGGTTTATGAAGGGCCATATAAAAACAATACGTAGTTCTATCTTGGCACATCTAATTGATAGTGGTCATAATGTAGATAAGTCGGAATCATTTCAAGTGATCTATTATAAAATTTCTTCTTTGTTTCGTTTTCTTATTTTAGGAGAAATTGCAGTAGCTCATTCTGATCGTGTTGTTCGATTATATTCATGGTGTTCATTTAAACCAACTGATGATAAATCTAAAACATCATCAAATAAAGTATCAAATTTAGGAGAATTTATCCTATTAATAAAATGGGAATTAGCTGGTCAGGTAGATTGTTTATACAAATGTGATTGTTTAATTTCGTTTAAAATGGGATAATTGACTTTCTCGGAGCATAGGTATCCTCTTACCCGATGCTCAACTATAATTATATTTTTCGATATTGTAGTGGTGTTCTACTCTGTTAAGTGTGAGATTTCATAGTCGTATTTCTCATTAAAAGCTTAACCGGAAAAGTGTGTAAACCTTTTGAATCCTCCTTAATTAAACATTATTAGTCTGATCAGTGCTTATAGTTTACTGTTATCAGAACCTTTAACTTCAAATGGTGTTCTTCAAGATTTACCACTATCTCCCTTTTTATTTGACTTCATTATAGATATCTTCTCAAAAATCACACTTTCTTCATCTAACTTTCCAGCTATTAATCATTCACCCTACTTACTTACTTACTTACACCTGTTACTCGTCGTGGAGGAGCATAGGCCGCTCACCAGCACTCTCCATCCAATCCTTTCCAGTTGTTATTCATCCTTTTCATATCTGCTTCTATTTCCCGACGTAATGTTTTCTTTGGCCTTCCTTTTTTCCGCTTCCCTTCAGGGACTCCATAGTCTCGAGAAAGTTTTTATAATGTTCTTCTATCTACACTGTCAAACGCCTCATAATCAGTGAAATTGATTTATAGTGACGAGTCCCACTCAACTGATTGTTCGACGATGATCTGTAGTGTTGCAATTTGGTCTGTGCACGACCGATCCTTACGGCATTCAGCCTGTTGATCTCGAAGTTAGGCGTCTGCTGTCTTTCATCCGGTCCAGCAACACTCTGTTGAAGGCTTTCCCTGGTACTGACAGTAGTGTAATGCCTCTGTAGTTTTCACATTTGCTCAGATCTCCTTTCTTTGAAATCTTAATGAGGTGTCCTTTTTTCCAGTCCATCGGCACTTGTTCCTGCTCCCAAATCTTTCATCCTCCCACTTGGAAACTCATTAATCGACACCGAATACTTCCGGGTAACATTTCTCATCATCACCATACTAGATTGTGTCTGAAATATCGGTAAAATTTCAAGAAGCTTGGCCGGTGTTTGCCAATATGTACTAATCATGGCGTACGCGATTATCTTGACCAATTGTTTGAAATTTAGGGTGATGTGGCTCAAAATCAATCACAGTAACATAGGTAAATTCGCTCTTTATTCACCTCTTTCATACATACTTTCTTTTCATTTCATCTTCTAGAACCATATTTTCAGTGTTAGTTTTTTTTATTGTCACTACTAATAAAATTATTTTAATCTCTTCCCTATTTATTTTGTAAATTTTTACCCTTTTTACTGATGATGTATGGCAGCTTGGACTAAGATGCATTTGTTCTAGGCTCTTTATGAACTGCGACTGAACAATTTAATCAATCAGAACTTTGCGGTATTTTGAAATCATTGGTCAGATGCTGATTAGCAATTAAGGCAAATTAATATTGACAGGAGATAGATAATTCACAGCCGTCAGTGGAATCCATAATGCAGGTTTCGTCAGCTGTATTCACTTGAATCCCTGTGTTGATGTTCATATTGATGCAATTAAAAAGAGACTGAATTAAATAAATTCAAAACGTGCCTTACGAATTATCCAAATATACATGCTATCCTGAAACGGCACATTCGATAGAGATCACCATAATAAAAATATTATCAGAATGGAGTCCTGTGGATATTGTAGTAGTTTTTAATAGTTGAATACAAGAGTCGATTAAAGCGAGACTGAGACTAAAGATCCTGGGTTCGAGTTCGTGTGAGGGATCGCGGATGCGCACTGCTAAGGAGTCCCATACTAGAACGAAATGGTCGTCCAGTGTTTCCAGGTTTTTCATGGTGGTCTAGCTTCAATCGACTCATAAATTCAACCATAAAAAGTAACAAGAATAGTTTAGGATTTCCACAAAATAAAACCGAAGCTTCAAGTAGACTAACATGGATCCATGACATTTCATTATATTATTACTAGCTGCCTGAAATGAAAATATAATACTTTCATAGTAAATGGAGTTGTTGAAAGACGAAATTATTCTTCGTTTAACTCTGTCGTTATTTTGCTTAATGATGTAGGTAACGTAAGTTTGCAAAAGCCAAACGAGCTTTCTGAATCTAGGCAGAGATTTTCTCAGACACTAACCCATTTGGGCTGACCAGATTTCTAAGGCCACTTCACTTATCTTAGAAGTCTGATCAGCCCTAATCGGTTGGTTTCTGATGAAATCTCAGCACGGATTCAGAAAGCTCGTTTAACTTTTGCCAACTTACGTCACCTATGGCGAAGGCGAGATATCCGTGTGTCAATTAAGAAGTGAATATACTGTGCAGAAGTTCGTTCTGTTTTAATTTACGGCAGCGAAACATGGCCATTAAGAATAGAAGACACTCGTAAGCTATTAGTATTTGACCACAGATGCCTTAGAAATACTGCTGGCATCTGCTGGGATCACCGGGTAAGTAATAGTGAGGTTAGACGCAGGGTATTAGGGAATGATGGTAAATCAGTTGATGAGGTTGTGAATATTCATCGACTGAGATGGTTGGACCACGTGCTGCGTATGCCTGAACACCGATTACCACGACGCTCAATGCTCATCGGTGTTGGGTATGGTTGGGGTGGTCAAATCAAAACGTGGCATCAGTCCATAAAGTCACTAACTTCTAGTCTGAGCCATGTTGTTAGATATAGACTAATTGGTTGCGGTCCGTGTGACTATCGTAACCAATTATTGAAGATTCTCGGTGACATGACTCTAAATCGATCACAATGGCGTAGGTGTATACACTCTATGTCTTCCCTTAAACTATGGGATTAAAATGGCTTCATATCTTTCTACGTACTAATTCTTTCTTCCTGTATTATATCCTTATATGCTATCTTTCTTTTGAATATCACACCATTGACTTAACTACTTCTATTAATTCGGTTTTCATTTTGCCGTGCTAATGCGGTTGGCTACTTGAACCGATGCATATATGTGCCTTGTCCTACGTTGTAGCCGACTGACTGATGATGATATAGTGCATTTTTCGTTCTTTTAAAGAGATGAAATTACTTAAATTTTAACGTAAACTACGTATATTGCGATTATGTATCAAATATAATAAGAATTCAAACGAAGTTCACAAACGTTATGGAATAAATAGAACATGTCTGACAGTTGGATTTGAGTAGCGCCTGTTTCGTCCTGTGCTCGAACCCTTACTAAAGTTTTTTTTAAAAAAGGTAATCGAATTAAATGTGAATTCTATGTTCAAATTAAAAAGAACAACTAAAAAATCAATTATGGCCGTAACAAAAAGCTACAACTTAAAAATATATATATTTGTAATATAATAATGGAATTCATGAGTCAATTGAAGCTAGACTATCATGGGAAACCTGGAAGCACTGGACAGCTGTTTCATCTTAGTATGGGATTCCTCAGCCGTGCGTATCCACGATTCCGCCTTGCGAGATTCGTACCCGGGACCTATCAATCTCGCACGCGAGCGCTCAACCTCTAGACCAATGAGCCATTTTCCATGGTGGTCTAGCTTCAATTGACTCATGAATTCAATTATTAAATTGCTATAATATCCACAAAACTCCTCTCCGATTATATCTGTAATATCCCAATGAGTTTCGTGACTCAGCGTAAGCCACTTCTTCAGAGAATAAATAACCAAATTAATCCAAGTTGAAACAGAACAAGGCAAGAATATTATGTGCGATCAATCAAAAAACAGGTCTGAACAAGTCAATGTCATCTCATTTCGGTCAAGGTAATTTATAAGTGACATGTATGTAAATGTGTGTGTATGTGCACAAAGTCAGGGATTTAAAAATGTGACATTTGTGGTGCTAAACGATAGAGTTTAATTTGTATATACGATAATAGTGTGAAATGTAAATGATATCTGACATGGTAGCTTGGATAGATAGTCTAAGTCAGATGTATAGATAGGCCTTCTTTTCTATTGAGAGCAGTAGGATTGAACATTATATGGAAAGCTTCAGCTACTCTCCTTTATTTGTAGTTGGAAAAACCTTTTTGTATCCATATATCCATGATATATTGAGTGGTTGTGGGTAATCGACAAGATACTCTAAACAAAGATTTCGTGCTAGTTGACATTCTTCAAAACAACTATCAACCAATATCAAAGTGAGAATCTTCAGTACGAAAGTGAAGACAGTCCGACTATGTGGAGCTGAAGCATGGAGAACTACTACAAACATCATCAAAAAGGTACAAGTATTTATAAACAATTGTTCACGCCAGATACTCAATTTCCATTGACTGGGTACCATCAGCAACGGACTACTGTGTGAGAGGACAAACCAGCCTCCATCTGAGGAGGAAATTAGGAAAAGACGGCGAAACTGGATAGGATATACATTACGGAGATCACCAAATTGCACCACGAGGCAAGCGTTAACTGGGAATCCTGTAGAGAAGCGGGAAAGAGTAAGGCCAGAGAACACACTACGTCGGTAATTGGAAGAAGACATGAAAAGGATGAATAGCGACTGGAAAGGATCGCTCAGGACGGAGTTGGATGGAGGGTGCTGGTGGGCAACCTATGCTCCTCCACGTGGGATAACAAGCGTAAGTAAGTAAGTTTGGCATTCTTCAGTAAACTGTACTAATTGTAATCATGAGTAAACTAGTATTTGATGTGAGACAGAATATTGTGCATTCTTGAACCTTTGCTTATTGGTCTATGCGTTGTATGTGTATACATACTTCTCAAGATGTTGATAACAGTAATAATAATATTATTATTATTACTCTTGTTTAAAATCACCTTCAGGTCAACCGAATCGATACATGCCTAACACAGGAATATGGTCTTATTGTAAGTATTGACTTTTTTTTATCTGGTAACATGTTTTTTACGTAATCACATTTGTAATCTCTTGATATACGAATGAATACTATCTTTCTGCCTATATATAACCCTAATATCTCACTTTCGGGTTGTGTGTTACCTTCGATAACATCGGTAGCTCGTATGATGTATTCACTAAACAGTATAAGTTGCCTTCTGTGACTGTGAATCTTGATCAACTTTTGTAGTTAATATATGTATTACGCATGGTGTTGGTCATCTCATACCTTGATAAATTATTCTCGATAGGACAGGAATAGATTGAAAATAAGTAAGTACCAGCAAACTAAGACGTGAAATCAATACATGAAACCATTGACTGTTGAAATGAATTTTGTCGGGATATGTGGACTACTTGCTGGTTAGGATGTTTGCTAACTCTAGGTTGTCTATCCACTCATTCAAGAACCTTACCCCAGGATCTTCGGTCTTGTGAGAAAACCCCTAACCTCTAGGTCACTGAGCCTGGATCCAACGGTGTATACGTATAACTGTAATCAACTCAAAATATTGTGCTACCATCTCCCATTGTCCTCGGTACCATCATTAAGAAAATATATGCAAGATATTTTTAAGCCTCCATTCATCAGGTGTCTATGGTGTTCATCGCATCAGTGTACTATTCTAAAAAACACTTCTTGAAATATCTATATCGAGTTTATTTACAAAACAGACGATAGTGAGAGTACAGCTGGTTCTAGAACCATAGTTGTAGACAACAGTCGAAATGATGACTAAGAACACAAGAATTGTGGTGTGTGGATTAGTCACTCAATTTTGTGGATTAGTTGAAGTTAGACATTAATATCGTTGGATGCCGACCCAGTGGTCTAGTGGTTATGCGCTCGCACGCGAGACTGATAGGTCCTGGGTTTGAATCTCGCGAGGTGGGATCGTGGATGCGCACTGCTGAGGAGTCCCACAATAGGACAGAACGGCCGTCCAGTGCTTTCAGATTTTCCATGGTGGTTTAGCTTCAATTGACTCACGAAAATATGTTACGCGCTGTGCTTAAAAATTTGTCGAAACCAAGTTAAGTACTGAAAATTATTAAGTAGTATAATTTAATACGCAAAAAAGAATTAGATAGGAAAGAAAGATAAGGGGTGCAAACAGAATTAGCAACATCCATTTAATGGACGGAATACGCTTGAAAAGTTACAACACAACTATTGATCATGGATACGTTGTAGATAATCTCAACCTTTTAAAAATATTTCAATTACTTTATCTGTAATTAGTTTTTCTCATAAAGTTATTGTCAACAAAATCGCATTATTCATATATGATACGTAATAATTATCTTCTTCATGTTTCAATTACAAGCTTATTGCTTCACAGCCAAGTGGAGGATTTGCACATTTACATCGAAAATTTGAAAAATATCACGATATAGTTGCGTAAGTCCTTCAATATGTCCGATTTTAAGTGTTTACATTACAATAACCGTAATTATTATTATTATTTTGTTTGGACGCATAAACATTGGGCACCGAATACATATGCGGCACATAAATCATTCGATTTGTATGGGGGCTAGAATAGTGCCTGGATGCCCAGATTGAAACTGGTGGTTTTCTTGAAGGACTGCACCCTGAGCCTTCGACCTAAAAGTCTGATCCACAAGACAATGGAGCAATGTCAGGTGATGCATTCTCATGATAACCGGTCACCAATAATTGGTTCATACGTCATTTGTTCCTTCAGGATCCTGGAGCCCATGTGTACCATTGGTTTGGAATCAGGGTCTTTCAACTCCCTTAAGTGGATCCTCGGTGTCCACCAACCCGGTTAAAGCGCTGGACATTCGCTTTTCGTCCTCTCAATTTCGTAAACAGGCGTGTCGCAAGAAGGCAGTGAGTAGGACTTCCCTGGCAGTCTTTGTATACGCGTGGTCATGTAAGAGGGAGAGTGGACTCTCTCCACCCTCGGCCGTACCAGGGGGCATTTTAGGCTGTATTAACGCTTGCATTGGGTGGTATTTTCAATAGGCACTTTTGACCTCTCTTCGTCCATCCGCAAAAATTAATGTACGGAATATAAATATCTAAAACACTAGTTCTTGAATTTTATACCCGGAGTATCATTAACAGGATTTGTCCACAGAGAATATATGATGTAAGGATTTATATTTCATCTACATCAGTAAAGATTCGGTCATTATGTAGTTATTCTATGGCCCGCCCTAAGCAAGTATACTTAGTAAGGCCTTCATTTGGATTTTGCAAACTTACACCACAGCGGTGAATTATCTGGTTTTTTGTCAAACAATAGGTTTACTCTATAACAAGCAGTTCACTGACGTTCTCCAGATGTTTAACAATGGTCACTATAAGTTGATAATACATATAGGTTTTATATGTTTCCTTGACGATATCAAGTCATTCACCAATTTAGTTAATAAAAAAATTCACCTGCCTAGAGTTAATTATCTTTTTTTTGCAAACCGAATATTACTTACGCCTGTTACCCCTCGTGGAGGAGCATAGTCCGCCCACCAGCACTCTCTATCCAGGTCTAGCAAACCGAATATAATCTACAATTACTATCTTAATGTTTTCACAAAGGTTTCCATGTTCTGTGAAAAAATAAAGGGAAATTTTAACATACTACTATTTAATAGTTGAATTCATGAGACATTCAGTCTCGCGCGCGAACGCTTAACCTCTAAACCACTGAGCTGGCAGGTATCCAACGGTGTTGATGTCTAACTTCAACCAGTCCACGAAATTACGCGACCATCTTCCATTGTACTGAAGTAGATACCGGTCTCTACCCGACACGGATTAGCTCCACTGGTCACGACTCCTCACAATAACTCTGGAAATTCCCTCATAAAGCTAGTCACTAATGAGCACATGGTAATTATCAGTATAGGGTTGTGGAGAACATTAAGTTTTTGATTGAGGTCATGAAGTTGAAGTTAGACATTAACACCGTTGGATGCCGGCTCAGTTGTCTAGAGGTTAAGCGTTCGAGTGTGAAACTAAAGGCTCTGGGTTCGAACGCCATGAGAGAGATCGTGGGTGCGCACTGCTGAGGAGTCCCACAATAGGACGAAACGGCCATCCAGTACTTCCAGGCTTTATCTTCTCCCATTAAATTAACTTTATATTTTCTTTTATATTTATATCAATTTAATGATGATATTTTAATTTTCAATAGACCAACATTAACCTATTATCCTCCACGTGTAACAAGTTCTAATAATTTAGAAACACGTACATGGCTTATTGGTAATGTGAAACATTCAAATTGTCATAATAATAACAATACTACTACTACTACTACTACTACTACTATTAACTCAAATAAGAGATCATGTTTACTTTGTTTATGTACGGCTGATGGAAATATGCGACTTGTCGATCCAACAATACATGGTAATGATAATGAGGAATTAATTATATGGTCAATTCAAGTGCATACACGTAGTGAATTATTTGCTTTGTGTAAAATGAAATTAACTGTAAGTTGTTATTTTTATACTACTACTACTATATATATATATATATATATATATATATATATATATATATATATATATATATATATATATGTAGAGAGAGTAAGCTTTGTACCTTACTATTGTGGTTGTACAATATATCTTCTTTGTGTTCGTGTAGTTATCTATGCATTGAATGAAGTTGGTGTTATTAAGTTGAATTCTCTAAGTCAGATCGTTTAAACTCGAAATCTCCGTTGTCGTTTTAGATAATGCCATTGACGATTACTTCTTCTAGAAGTTTAAAACCGTTACATGATGGAGTAAAATATAAATCCTTAACTCCATGAATTAGACCTCCGCTTCCTTGTAGTATATATAATATACATTGAATTATGTGACAGATATTTAGGAAAGCACTTAACTTCATCACAAGTCAAGCGCTCACTTGGAATCCTCAAGGTCAAAGAAAAAGAGGAAGACTAAAGAATATATTACGTCGAGAAATGAAGACAGATATGAGAAGAATGAAAAATAATTGGATAGAACTAGAAAGGAAAGCCCAGAATAGAGTGAGTTTGAGAATACTGGTCGGCGGCCTATGCTACGTTGGGAGACATTTATACTCTAAGGGAGTAAGTGATTACCTATTAGAAGTACTTCACAGAAGTAGGATAAAATTGAATTCAAACGACCTATGTATAACATATTTTACTTATCAGTAAGTAACATATTACTATTTAAAGCATTCAACTATCAATCATTGGATCCTGTTAGTTGAGAACTTGTCTTGTCCTTATTCTGATCGGTTAGTTAAACAGATAAGCAATAGATATGGGAAATCATGACTCAAGATCAAGTATACCAAATTATCCTTAATGACTAATCCATATGTGTAATTTTGTAACTCTCTTGTTTTCTCTTCTCTATATTATTAGAAAGATGATGGTGATCAATTAGTTGTTTGTTCATGGGATGGTACTACATATATATTTGATATAAATAATAATTCATTATGTTTTCCATTAGGACGTTCATGTCAAGCATTTACAGCTGGTTTATATGCTATAGAACCTGGTCGAAATTCACCTGTATTAATCTATTCAACATTTGATCGTAATACATTAATTTATTATAATTTATGCTTAAATAATGTTGCTGCACAAAGTTTACATAGTACAATATTAAATGATCATATATTAGTGAAGAAATTCCAATCAAAAAATGTTGATCGTAAGTTGTACACAGTAGAATTTAAATGTTATATATGTTAGTCTCATTAGTTATACAGGATAGCTAGGAAAGGTAAGTGTTGAATTCATTTGGTATTAGTTTACTTGAATCTTCTCATTGATCATCAGTCTCTTGTCGGCATATCTGCGGATTGCCTCGATATTGCCCTAATTTACAAGCATTATAATCAAAGATGAATAATGGCGAACAGTGAAGGTGCATTTCGTCCTATTTGAGACTCGTCAGCTGGATTTACCTGTATCTTAGAGTTGATTTTCACTATGGGACTCAAATCTAGTACCGTTCGCTTCAAACGCCATCGCGTTATCTACTTAGATACTGAGTCGTAATGTATTATCAAAAGTCATATAAATTTTTGTATGCGATAAATCTATTAATTAAACGTGCTACTTGGCACTCGTCAACAAGGTGTGCCTATAATCTTGAGGGAAATGGTGCACCCTGACGGATTCGATCCAGTGTCTCCCAGCTTTACAGTCAGAGACGTTACTGATGGGCTACCCGGACCGCCTTGGTACTGTCGAGAGTGAGGAGAGTCCGCTCTCCCTCTCGAAATGCTCTCACATGGCCACGCGTATATAGCCTCTGTCTTCTCGTGGCAGGGGTGTTGTTTACGGACTTGAAAGGACGAAGAGTGAATGTCCGGCGCTTTGACTAAGCTCGTGGATATGGAGAGTCCACCTAGGGGAGTTGGAAAACCCTGGTTCCAAACCAATGGTGCACGTGGGCTCCAGTATCCTGAGGAAACAAAGGGTGTATGAACCAATCGTTGGTCACCGGCTACCATGGGATTGCATCTCCTCACGATGCTCCATTGCCTTGTGGATCAGACCTTCAGGTCAAAGGCTCCGGATGTGGCCCCCTAAGAAAACCACCTGCTTCGGTTTGGGCACCCGGGCAGTACCACAGCCCTCACACATCACAAATGAGATTTGTGTGGCGCATATGTATTTGGTGCCTCTTTGTACCACTATCTATGTGTTCAAATAATAATAATATTGTTAATCAAACAATAGCTTATTGTTATTAGCTATTACGTCATTGAATTGAAACTTCTATTCAATTGTTTCAAAACAGTAATTAATGTATAGCCTGGTATAAACATGCATTTTAAATCAACACAACAATATGAAATCGACAAGATGAATACCAAATAAGTTCAAATAATCATAATACCCATGATAGTGGGAAAGACTATACACTGATAATACAGTTTGCGAAGACAGAATGAAAAGGTATGTATGAAAGGATACTAGGGCCAAAAATCTAGAGGAGGATAAAAACTGAATACATCTGTGCTACTGTAATTGATTCCCACCCATCTCCAACCACGTAGTCTACACTTATCAACACGGACCACAGACCAATAATCAATGTTGGTTTCAACAGCCATATAATATCTGCACCCCCCTTAAGATATCATATATACTATGAGCGCCTCAAAACTTATTATTCTACAAAGCATGTAAGACTATTATTGGTAAGTTTGTCAGGCAATCCACTCCAATACTCAAATGCAGAACCATTCTGATGACGTTAAGTAGAGTATTGGATTGAAGATATTATGAACTGATGAAACTTAAATATTGTTTTTTAATGTTTCAAATATGGTTCATATAATCATACACTATTGAGAAGTCCCGTTTTCAACAAAACAATTGTCTATTACTCAACTGCTAGTTCATACAAACTACTTCCACCCTATAATTTACCTAAAAATCATTTAGCAATTACAAAATTATGTACTATATTCTGTATTAAATCATTTTAACGTCCTAAAAACTTAATAGTCGGGTACCCGTAAAACCTCGGGATCAAAAATCTGCATTGATCAGAAACAATATGACTAATAAAATTTAAAAACTTCGAATTTTATGGCGTCTGGAAATCGAAAACACAGTCACAGATACAGCTGAAAGGAAGTTACAATCTTCAAATACATTAAATTACAGCATATGCTGTAAACTAGTGAACAATATATGGTTGTTAACCAAGCACTAGCAATTATGAAAATAAGACAAGCTTAAGTTTTACAGAATCCATACATTTTCAGTGAACAGCTGCTATGTTTGAAGAGATTACGAGTTCACCTAAATCTGCGAACAGAATAAAGACTCTCCATTTCCACCAATCCGGTTAAAGCGCCGGAGATTCGCTTTTCATCCTCTCAATTTCGTAAACAACACCCCTGCCACGAGAAAGCAGTGAGTAGGACTATATACGTGTGGCCATGTGAGAGCATTTCGAGAGGGTGAACGAACTCTCCTCACTCTTGGCCGTACCAGGCCATTTGGAGGCACTCAGCAACATAATAACCAAATAAGCTAATTATTCCGATGTGTCCCAGACCCGCTAACTAGAGAGAGAACTCCAGGTTTAGGAAAGGGAGAATATATTCCACAAGCAACCAAAAGCATAACTCAAGTATATATATATATATATATAATATAAAAATGTCCTAGGGAAACATTACAAAAAAGCATATTAAAAGAGACAATGAATCAATGATATTTAAGGTCCTTCCAAATGGGAAATACGATATGAAGGAGAAAATGAATGCTTTAGTCCCCAAAAAAAAATCCAAATTTTCAAAATAAGACATTTACCAAGTGAATTCTAAAGATCTATAATCCCTAACAATAGCACACATAGTCATATCACAAGTTTCGAAATGATTGATAATGATGTGGTGCGTGCTACTTATATTGATATAAATAGTATATGACGCGAGTTAAAAACGTAATGTCTGGCATCAGAAGATGGGGGAAGATCAAGAAAGGAAGAGCGGGAACACTATGCAATTTGTAAGAAAACGCATGAACAATGAAATGTGAGACAATGGATTGATGTTAACAACAGGAACAGTCCGGTTTGATATGACGGATTGATATTTTGCAACTTAACGATTTGCTATATGTTTTTTTTATTTTACTGAGTAACTCGGTAATTTTGTGCTAAATGCATTCGGTTGTCCCCACCCGTGTTCTGTTCACTACAATAATACAAACTACTGAATACTATTAAGTAGTAGAAATAAGTTGAGTTAGAACATGCAGAATCAATTCTATGTTGGATATGATGTGATATTCCGTTGTAATTTCCATAGGAAATATCAAAATACTATGGTATGATTATCATTAATTTCTTTTGCCGATTATATTTTATCACATTCTGAACCGGATCACATTTCATAAATTTAGATAATCACTAGTACTAATACACAACACAAACATCTATCAATTGTACAATAGAACATTACAAAACACTTGTCATCCCATATCAGTAATTAATTAGTCAGTCAGTCAGTCAGCTACAACGTAGGACCAGGCACATATGTGCATCGGTCCAGGTTGCCATACCTCATTAGCACAACAAGATGAACACCGGATTCATAGGAGTGGTTAGATCAAAGGTTGCAATAAGGATATAGTATAGGAAGGAAGAATTAGTTCGTAGAAAGAAAGATATGAAGTGATTTCAATCTCTTAGTTTAAGGGAAGACAAAGAGTGTATGCACCGACGCCATTGTGATCGATTCTGAGCCATGTCACCAAGAGTCTCCAACCATTGGTTACGAAAGTCACGCGGACCCCAACCAAGTAGTCTGCATCTACCAACATGGCTAAGACTAGAAGTTAGTGACTTCAAGCACTGATGCCACGTTTTGGTTTGGCCACCCCTAACTTTCTTCCAACCATCCCCTACACCGGTTAGCATTGCACGTCGTGGTAATCGGTGTTCAGGCATACGTAATACGTGGCCCAACCATCTCAGTCGATGCAGATTCATAACCTCATCAACTGATTTACCATCATTCCCTAATACCCTACGTCTAACCTCACTATTACTTACCCGGTGATCCCAGCAGATGCCAGCAATATTTCTAAGGCATCTGTGGTCAAATACTTGTAGCTTACGGGTGTCTTCTACTCTTAAAGGCCATGTTTCGCTGCCGTAAAGTAAGACAGAACGGACTGCCGCGCAGTATACTCGTCCTTTTATTGATGGACGAACCAATCAGATATAGGATAACAGGTCTTAGATTTTGGCGCGAAATTCATTTATTCATTTGGCTAAATGGAGTTTTGGCATTGTAGCTGATGTCAGTTCTTGATGAAGACCCCCAATCATCAACTGTAAATCACAATTCTAATTCCTCACAATAGTTCATAAACCTCATCTGATCCTAGTTATTAGGGGAACACTCTCAAGGTCACTCAAAGGTTATCCACAAACTATAGTCTAACCGATGGACCATAATGAAAACCGCTTCTATTACGAAAACGATCATATTAACAGTAGTCTTGTTTATAATATAAATTTTTGAACTGGGATCCATGTGCTACACAATCTCACTACTAGTATAAATCAATCGATATCTTTGTGTTTTGTCTATCACTCTATGATAGTATTTAACTTTTCTTTTTAAAAATTATTTTCTAGCATATGACTCTGCACAATTATCCAAAGCACTTCATTATATCTTATACGATTTACCTAAACAAGAAACTCATCCATTACAATGAGCTCAGTTGGGAATATTCAAATATGTTTTTTTTGGTTCAAATGAAATAACATAAACTCAGTATTACTTTGTGATATTTCAGTTTAATAATTAAATTACCTTCAATTTATTCAACTGAAACAAGCGTGTTTATGTATTGTACTGTCTTTCTACAATATGTATGATGATGAGTTCTTTTCTAAAAAAACAAAATTGATTCAAGCTTCTTTATATACAATGAAATTTCTTGAATGATTTATCATTCTAAATGAAAACCCGCTTACAAACAGTGACCACCTCATCAGTATTAGTTCATGAATTACAATGCTGTTAAAGGTACGAGGGCGGTTATCACTTCCCGGTTGCTCACACTGTGGAAGGGTTCTTCTAGAGGTACCTGAAAAGGAAATATGGTTAGAAGTGATCTTAGTGACCTGAGAGCGTGACCGCAGTGCACAAGAGACAACTGCTTGAAGTCGGTCACACACAATTTTTTTTGTGAGTAATTTTCGTGTTACCTCCGTACTTGTTGAGACCTTACCGCCGGCGACAGATATTCGTGGGATAAGGCGAGATGTGCATTTTTAAGGTCGACCTTTTCTAACGCCAACCTTCGCTGTTATGCTTGTTGTCTGAAGGGAACACCTTACTGCTGTCACACCTCTATACAGTCGGATGTACGACTTCGCCTTCGGACATTGAGTTTGCTGCTTTTAGTTTTACCGCTCTTGAACCGACCTGTCTGGAATGGTAGAACCTTGAGGAACGATTGTTCCAGTCAGTATAGCTTGATTGGTCATCACGATAGGCAAGCTCGACCACCACATCATGGTAGAAACAATATTAAATATCTTAGGGTATACATACATTGTGGGAAATCTCAATATCGATGCTCACATAGTAACTTATGATAAATATGACTGACACACATAGGTGAAGTCAGTTTTATTGATGATCACAATAAACATCAAATAGTCATGAGAATTAAGAACTTAACGAAGATATTTCAAATAAAAAGTCACTATCTTATTAATAAAATATGTGTTTTGAATTGCAATCATTGAAAGAAGTAATGAATGTCTCACCTTTTCAACTTATATTATCACTGGCTAGTCAAGAACATAATGATCTATGCATATATTCACGCTAGTTAATCATATCATTTTTATATTCCATAGTAAAAAGTAAAGGTCGATTACACTTTATATAGACAATTTCATCTAATAATCGATTCGAAGTTGAAACAATATCATCAAATGAGAGTGTCCCATTATCTATTAAACGATAGTAGAGGAAAATAACATAGATACTATTAATATATATCATATATGTGTAAAAGTGTTCAGACAATCAGAATAAAGTATTCTTATGGGAATATTCTAGTTGTAACACTTGCTAATCCTTGTTACTGTTTACCTAAGCAATGAAGACTATTCTTCTAATCGGTCATTAATAATGGGATCCGGTAGCTGCGTTTCATAATATAACCAAGGTGTCTTTATGATAATATGATCTTTCTTTATCCAATAGATCAAGTAAATGATCAGTTAATGATCATTTTACAGATTGAGTATGTGTTAAATAACTTATTCTTTTGTGCTATCTACGTACAGCTCAATTTGTGTTGTAGATTGTTAGATGTTTATGATGCATATGACTTATATTCAATTATAGTAGAGAGTAACGATTTTCAGTGTAACAATATCAACTGATCCAGAGGGGAGAGACTATAATTTATAGACAAAACAATCACATCTGAGATAGTGGGTCTTAGATTTTGGCACGAAATTCATTCACTCATTTGGCTAAATAGCGTTTTGGCATTTTAGCTTATGTCAGTTTGTGATGAAAACATTAAATCTAATTCCTAACCGTACTAATCCACTGTAAATCCTAATCCTAGTTCATTACACTAATATATAACCCTAATTTAACCCCAGTAAGTAGGTGGGTATTCCAAGGTCATTTTAACGTTGCTTAAAGGTTGTCCATGGATTATAGTCTTACCATCCAGAGATTAGTCAGATTTTATGTTTCTTCAACAAAATGTTAACGGCAATATTATCCCAATAATTGTCCTGCATTTTGACAAAAAATTACCCAAGTTCCATTGAAGACCTGTAGTTGTTACTTGACATGGTTGTCCAACAGGTATTAAACCTACATGTTGTGCTTCGTATCCTGTGTTAGCACGTATAGTATGTTCACCCTAAAGTGTTGTTACAAGATTAGATGATATGCAAAAATGGACACTTACTTCATCCAACAAGAACGTAACTGAGCACTCGTTCACCAGTAGCAATGGAATGTTAGTTAACTTCTTTGTTTCATATAGAGTTTTAATTAATCCCATTTCATGATCGAACCTTCCACCACTCATTTGAACTGCAACAAGCACATCTAATTCCGCCTGAACGCTCAAATTAATCGTTCAACTATATGCGACTTGCATTGTTTTGTTCTATACTATTGATAATTATACGCACACATTTTGTGAAATCAGTTTCTTCTTGATCAGGTGTTTCGATGACTGCAACATTCTTCTGATTATAATCGCTAGAATATTACGAAGAATGAAGAATCTTACTGCTGAACGATAAAATTCCAAAACTTCTGGTTGAATAGAATCAAAATCTCCAGTTAAAAAATGTGGGAAATAATTAGTTCTGTAATTTATATTTCTGTAAATATGGTTTGCAAACCCATCTACAAAAGCTACAGGATAAGCTGAATAAAAGAAACAAAGCTATTATGAATAGGAGATAATACCGTTTTTCCATAGTCGTTTAAAAAGTGTCTCCGGTAAAGATGTTGGATGATTTAAGTAAATAACAGCCTTCTTTATATCTGTAAGCGGACACTAGTATACAAAGCCTTTTTACCGTCTTTAAAAATAGATAGAGGTGTATAGATCATCTTTATCTAAAATAATACAAAAAGTACAATTAGGTAAGACATGATGTTTGCTAACTAGTCAGACCACGAGGAATAAAAAATGGTGATGCTCACAAAAAAACTGAAATGAGACATAACTAAATGTAACCAGTTACATACAAATAAATGCTACCTGTAAACGGTGAGTTTGGTAGTAGAATAGACATTAACAATATATAGTACGAAACAGGTTCGAACTAGATTACGTTTTTCTAACTAATATTAACAAAGTCCAGACAAGACGAAAATACAGTAATGATGATTTAAGCAAAATTGAAGACTTGGAGGAAAAAACAACAAACTTATTATGGTTATTATAGTATAATTTTGAAGACCAGAAATGTCGATGTCACTGCAACTTCATTTCATAACATCTGGTCTCTAACCACTGCTGATATCCAAAACAGTCATGGAAATACTAAACCGGGGCAAAAACGCATCCACTTAGAATAGTAAATAACACTGTATTTAAAATAAACTTCAAATGCTGATCAACGAGTTGATCTGTAACCTACATAACTCTTGTAAAACTAATTACATGTTAGTAGCTATATGGCTATATAGAGCTGAAGGTCTCATATGAGGCTGGAGGTTCGCCATTGTTATTGTGGACGGTTCGGCATTGCTTTGGCAAGTTTTGCCGACTGTTCATGCAAAAAATCGGTTTGCTGGTTAACCGACTTCATTCATACTGGTGGTTGCTTTTCAGTGTTCCCGAGGGCCATTGTCATTGGGACATTGTAAGGCATGCCGCCATTGCTAACACTAACGAGTTTGACTGTCGTGTAAGCGGAATAGGTCAACTTTGGCCTGTTCATGCTGTGCACGCGATCATTGATCGGAATAACTATACACGTGGTGAGAGTGTGTATATGGATGGTGCGAATGGTTCACCAGGGTGCTTGGTACCTGTGTGGTTGCGTCACAGGATTGAGCTGTACTATTCAGATTATAGCGTTAAAGCCTGTACGGTGTCTGGTTCCCCTGCTAAACGGGGTTGAGCCGTACTGTTTAGGTTTTTACATGAAAGTCCGGATGGCGTCTGGTTCTCCTGAAAACCAATGTAAAATTACCCTGGCCCACAAGGGTATATTATATAACCAACTATAATGTTAGTAGGTGCAGAAGATTAGACCCCTTCTGTAGATTTGTACATGGTTGTGTTATGGTGGATTATCAGACTTTGGACCCTATGGTTAAATCATTTACTTCCGAAAACCGGTCTCTGACATCGCGTTCAAACCACTGGAGTTTGCCTACCTTGACCCGTCGTATTACTACTTCCAAGTGACATAAAAGTTTCGGAAGAGACGAAGATTCTTAGCTTCATCTTGAACCAAGATTTATGTTTTTGTGACAATAAAAGTATAATTTATGAACAATCTTAATACAACCATTACGAATTCCCAGATAGTTCTTAGTCAGTCAGGATACAGCCATTGTAGATCGATAGTCTGTGAAGAAAATAGTAATATACCACAGCACGAACTGATATGATATATTCAGTAAGACGATCAATGTCTTCTACCGGCTATTCTATCTATAAATATAAATAACGATATATTGACACATCGTTATAGATATAGATTGTGGAACTCTTTGAAGAACCTCGACATGTTTTCCTGGTTAAAATTGGGTGTTCCGAGTAAAGACTAGGGGTTTATAGTCTAGATTTTCACTAAGAAATGACACAATCCATGACGTGAAGTGCTCTGCAACCATCTAGTAAATGAATTTTGCTCAGAAGCACAAGAGAAACCATCTGATTAATTCGTCCATAAAATGTGGCTCTAAAAGATTGATTTTCGCTTCAGAAATAAGGGTTTAAGATGACAGCTTAAAGGTATTGTCGATTTTCCGATTTTGTTTACCACCAAAATTGACAAAATTAGGTGTGCAATATGTTCAGCATCATCATCTCTTAAGATGGTTCTAAGGAATAATTCTACATCCTGAGCAGAATATAAAGATGATTTTACTGGTAATTTTACGTGATATTCGGATTTCTGATTGGTTTGTCTCTAAAGCATACTTCCAGTCTAAACGTCACTGTAACGCCCAGTTTCAAATATTCATGCTTTAAGGTCG